CTGGTCTGACCTCCTGCATAATCCAGACCAGGTAACTGAGCAGGAGTGAGTCCAGTAATTTATAGTTACGGCTTTTGTTTCTCGGTGTATCAGTTTCATTGTTTGCAGCTCATTTTTTTTAGCAATTTGCTTTTTGTGATGATATGCAAAAATCAGGGGGGTTTACTTTTTATACACTGTAATGAGAAGATTTTTGGGGTGTACATTCCAAAATTCTTGTTTAAATAGGATCAACTTTAATTTTTATTACATGTATAAAAATTACGTACATGTTAGTTTAAGCTTTGTATATTTGTTATGGATCCCTGGTTTAGTGCATTTCATATACCTCTCCCTGGCACTAGGCTGACATTTTTTATAATACATATTTAGCATAAATAGAAGCTGATATTTAATAAAAAAAAAAATACAAATACGCTTACCATTATCTAGAGAGATTGTATCCTTTCCCATCATATTAATATCCCAATGTAGTCAAAAAGTACAATGTTTATGACGTCAAGAATAGTAATTTCCATCTTCAAGCAAAATGGATTTTTAAAATTTTTAATAATTTTTTAAAATTGCATCCACAATTTGTAATACAGAAGTGTTGTGAATTCTGTGTGCGTGTACAGTCCTCCCTAGCTATGGAGTGTCCATTGGAATGTAGGAATTGGCTGCGCTCAGTAGCTGAGGCAGGTTTAAAGTATCTAGCATGAATTAATGTTAGATGCAAGCCAGGGAGCAGGGACACCGACTATAGGGAAGGCAGGGAAGTCAACCTGAATTGAGTAACCATTTCTCGGTTTCCTTTTTTGGCTGTTCATTGGATAAACACTAATTTTTTTTGTATTTGGAGTGTTTTATAGGTTTTTTTTACTTAAAACCTAAAATCAGAAGCCCTACCTACAGTTGAAGTACAGCATATGCTTTAGAAAAACATCTTGTCACTACTGAAAGACAGTAAATGGTTGATTTGCCACTTGTCTTGGTACATCTACACTAGGGCTCACAATGTTGCTAACACTAGTGGACGTGAACCAGTTTTAGCAGCAATGGGACCTTTGTAGACAATGTACCTACAGCAGACGGGTCCATAGAGCCGTTTGATTCAGAGAGAGGATGCAGTCAATTAATAGATTTTGCTTTCTGCTATGCGCCTTTCATCCCAAAGAGCTTTAAAATGAAGGGTTAAACAAGCCTCAAAACATAAAACTAATACTTAGAATGGAGATTACTGCAAATACCATGGTAACTTCAGCTGCTATAATTGGTAATTGTCAAGTATTTAATGATGCCTAACCCTATAGCATCATATAACCTACCATCATCTACGCTATCTGCACTTGAGGGGTGTAAATTCTAGTGCGAATAGGGTGTCTCACACTAACTACTATCATAACAATAACTTTGATAAATATCGTTCCTGAGCCTACATATGTCTTCATGTGCCTACACAGTAATACCTATATAGAATCAAGTGTCACACACTGAACTAGCGAAAGTGAACAGCTATGTCTGAACATTATTGAGGCCATTCCCACGTGACTTTGGTGTGTTCCCTTTTTACGGGACATGGCAAACAGCTAACTTTATCCCCAGAGCCACTTAAAGCAAGTCTCGAGGTTGGGATTTGCTGGGTTGGTAGGTTGCACCCCAGTTGCTGACACGAGACAGGAAAGACCTGCTGAGCTTGTGCTCAGGAAGCAAATACTCCTGCAACTGTCTCCAGTTGTCGTGGTGCCATTGCTGCTTGTATTCATCTTACAAACAAAAGCAGACAGATTTTTCTCTTTTATGTAATTTAATTGAGCCTCCCAGAGCAAGAGGAAGCCCTTAGTATGGATTATTTGGAGCAACACAATTTGCGTTCTGCTATACTTACAGTGCGGGCTTTCCTTTGCGCCAATCCTCAGAAGGATCCTAGCGATAGGCACGTTGTTTGTCAGGATGGCAATATCCAAGGGAGTTAATCCCTCACTGTTCGGTGTGTTTAGATCCAGCTCCTCTGGTGTATATTGATAGAGGAGAATCTGAACTGCGTCCAAATCCTGCTGTTCTACCGCCTCAAACATAGCTTCGTTGCACTGGAAATTCTGTACATCAGCAACAGCAGAAATTAGTTACAATTCTTCCTTTGGCAGCCACAAGTTTTGCTTTGTATCCTGTTCCAGAGACCACTGGCCCAATCCTATAGCCCAAGCATAAAGACTAGAGGAAGGGCCCTACCAGTAGGTTAGCTTCCCCTGGAGATGGGCTTTGTTGAAAACAATTTGCACATCTCCCCTTGCTTCAGGTTTCATTATACCCTTGAACTCAGTTCAGGTTCGTTGGAAGGTTCAATGAGGTTCACAACCCTCACAAAGCAAATCTGAGCCGATGTACAGGTTTGCCCTGAAACCAAGCCACATAAGTGATCTTTTAAGATTTACATGTGAAACTGGGTGAAAGTTTGTGGGTTTGGCAGAGGGTTTGACTCTGAGGTTGTCCAAACCCCAAAACTCAAAGCAAAAACCTGGGGGATGTAACCCAAGATAATCAACATCCAACTAAAACAAAGCAAAACTCAAAAAGTGTCTTGCAGCTTTATCATAAGCTGGTACCAGGCACAGGTTCTGAAATTGTTCATAAATTCTGAACTCTTCAGGGCTTATTATTATTATTATTTGTTTTCACCAAGAAGCCCTAGTCATGAAGCAGGACACCTCTGTGCTAGGTTCTGTACAAAAACAGAACAAAAAGATTGTCCCTGCCCTAAGGGGCTTCCAATCTAATTATAAGACAAGAGACAACAGATGGATATAGCCGACAGGGGAGTACCAGTAAAAAAAAAAGAAATCATATTTGTCAGCATGATAGGCAGTGGTCTCTGCATGCTAGCAGCATATCTGGCTTCTCTTCACTGCTGTAAGAGCTTGGAGTTATAACTCGAGTTTTGCTCATAACCTTACTCCTATTCACACAAAAACCCCTCTAGCTCAAGTTAAACGGTATGTCTACACTGTAATACTAGCGCATGCATGCACTGTTGCCCACATCCCTCTACCATCCATACACAACCCCCCCCAAGCATGTGCTTATTTGTGCTTTGACCCTGTGCTTGCTTCAACAGCTGGGGGTATGGGTGAAAGCTCAGGCTGGAATCCACCCGCTTTGCAGTGAGGACTCGAGCAAGATCACATAAGTCCTGATGGTCCTCCAACACCTTTCCCACAATTCCCCTGAGGGACAGACAAGTTCTCCCACAACTGACAGAATTGACTGGGAAAGAATCCTAGTCTGTCTCAGCACAAAGAACCCTGGGATATGCCCCCAGAGACACACGAGTGACAGCAGAAACAGGGAGGATACAGTAACGCATGTAAGGCTTTGCAGGGGAAACGCTCACATACTGGCCAGGCTAACCCACATGCTGATCACCTGGAATAACTTTGCAGTATAAACATACCCACAACTACTCAGCAGCTGCTCATGCAGTCACTCTGTGCAACTTGACGATTGCTGTGCCGTGTAGTCAGTCTCACTCGAGCTAGGGTAGGTCAGGTCGACTGCAATAACTTGAGTGTACCACTTCAAGCTAACTGTTGCACTGAAGACAAGCGCTAGGCCATTTTTAAATACCCTAATAATTTCACATCCAGCTTCCAGAGAAAAACGCTGACTAGGAGAGGCCTTGAAACTCAGTGGAGCTTGTCATCATTCGGTAAGAAGAGGGGATGGGACTGAAGTAGATTAACTGGCTGGGTACCTCCAAAATATCGGCAGGTAACCAAATACGTGTATCTGTGTGGTACTCAGAAAAATGCAGATTGAGTGGGTGAGCACCTGAAAAATAGGACCCAAGGATGTACCATGTATTAGCATCTTCTCTGCTATTCTAGGCTAGAAAAGAACAGTGAGGCCCCTTTCCCCCCAACAATAGATATAAGAACTAAGGGAAGGGATAAAGGAAGAGCGGTAGGATGCAAAGAAACATATCACTCCTTAATTGAGCTGGGAAGAAGCAGGTGCAGGAAGCTAGCACGGCCTGCAGGGTTTTTGTTTATGAAAACATCCTTCCAGTGCTCTACAGTGGTGACGTGTTATTTGCCAAGTTACTTTAAACTCCCTTTCAATGTCCCTTTGTGATAATTACCCAACAGCTTTCTTCTTTTAAAAGCGAATTATTAGAAGCAACTGGCCCAGCTGTGCAAAGAGAGCTCAGCATGATGCCATGCAAGGGAGCTACAGTTTGGGTGGATGTACTGTGCTGAGGGGAGCATTAAAGAAATACTTGGATATGAGCGAGAGAGAGATTCAGGACTGAAGCTTGGCTCTCCCTCATTGCTGGAGGCGGACATGTTACAGAAGCAGCCTGTTCAGCACACACACTAGCACTCCCGTTTGGCCTATTGAAGGAGAAGCATTGCTGAACTCTGTGTTCAGGCCCTCATTGCTGCAGGAAGAGGCCTGGCGGAGCGTGGGAGAGTAAAAAGGGAATAAATGAAGGGATTGTGGAGACTCCAAGGAGGCATCTGTGGACCTCTAGAAGAAAATAACCATTGCCTGTGAAAGGGAAGCTCTGATAACATGGAACTCAGCTGGAGCTGCGGGTGATTTGCACCTCTGAAAATCAGGCTCAAGATGTCTCAAGTTGGGCACCCAAAAATTAATGGATACTTTGGTGGATATAGGCCTAGACTAGCTTTTCAAGACAGTTCTGCTAGTATATCTTTAATACCTGTCAATGGAATTGTTGTATTAATACTCTGCTAGTTGTTCCACATTGTGTGGTGGGCTCTGTGATGTACGCTACGTACCAAGATGAGATCCCCAATTCCAGTGCAATAGATATGAGCTCTGAAGCAGATCCAAGGCCAAAAAAACCCCAACCAATCAAACAAACAAAAAAACCCAACAACATTTTCAAAAATTTGTTTGTCTTGGGTCAATTGAAATGTTTCGTTCCCATTTCAACTTTTTTAAAAAATATAATTTATAATGTACATTTTGAAATGAAAAATCAAAACGTTCCTAATGTTTTGACCTTATCGAAACACTTTGTTTCAAAGTTTTGTCTTTTTTAAAAACAAACCTTTGTTGAAACCTTCTCGTTCCAGCACAAAGTTTAGTTTTCAACAAAATGGCATTTTCTGATGGAAGAACTTTGTTAGACATTTTTTGACCCGCTCTAGCTATAATGTTCTAAACAAGCAAACCACTACCTTAATCCATATACAATAACTTTATTAAAAAGAATGTAACAGTACAGCGTGCCTTCTGGTTAGAGAAAATATGGACATTGCTCAACATGGGAAATACAAGAAATATTGTAATTACTGAGATGATGTTATCTAAAAGTTTAAAAGGGCAGCTACTGTAAGTGGTGCTACCAGGGCCGGTGCAAGGAAGTTTTGCGCCCTAGGCGAAACTTCCACCTTGCGCCCCGCCCCCCACCCAGCTAACCCCGTCCCCCAATGGCAGCTAACCCAGCCCCCCACCCGGGGAGCCCGCCACCCCGCTCCTGGGGAGTCCCCCCCCCGCAGCAGCTACCCCTCTGCAGCTAACCCCGCCTGGGGAGCCCGCCCCAGCTAACCTCGGCTCCGCCTCCTCCGCTGAGCACGCCGGCGCCGCTCTAATTCTCCTCCCCTCCCAGGCTTGCGGCGCCGATTGGAGGAGACTTAGAGTGGGGGCTGTGTGCTCAGCGGAGGAGGCAAAGTGGAGGTGATCTGGGGCGGGGAGCAGTTCCCCTGTGCGCCCGCCCCCCCCCATTACTGCGGGCGGCCCTCCCAGCACCCCCCCGCCCCAGCTCACCTCCACTCCACCTCCTCGCCTGAGCGAGCTTTTAGGCGCCCCCAACCACTAGGCGCCCTAGGCGGCCACCTAGTTTGCCTAAATGGTTGCACCGGCCCTGGGTGCTACTCTGATACAGTAGATATGGTGGCCTACCAGAATAGAGCTTAGCAGTTTTTAAAATTGTCTGCACTCAAAATTTTCACCTGTTTCATTTCACCTCAGCTACCACAAATAAAAAACATTTGCGTTAAGCTTTTCAATCCTTTCTAAGGAGGTTGTATAATAGCTCACACCTGTCGCTTTCAAAATAGGTCTTTTTGTATGTTTTATCTTGAGAGCCCAAAATACAAAACTGAGAGGTAAACATTTTTCTCTGACAATTTCCAAGCAACTCCATTTCATAAATACTACTCAGGAAAGACAATCAAGATAACTAATTAATTCTCCTTGTATTTAATATAAGGAATTCTATTAGCCAGATTTCATATACCCACCCAGTGCTTCGATGCTAGTGGGAGGGGTGCAAGAGAAAAATCCTAAAATGATAGATGAACGAATGGCAGATGGGTAGAGATTATCCTCTAGTTATCTAAATCATAATTAGAATGGTTTTAAAGGCAAACTGTCACTGGTGAGGGCATGTCTAAAATAAATGTAAGAAAAGATCCTGTCACGTATTTCTCAATTCTAAGGCAAAGCCTAAAAGGAGAGAAATTTTTACTGCAATGCAGCAGTTGCCTTGCACTACACAGCAGCTCCACACATCTGTTCCCCTGCTTTTCTAATGCTTGATTTGGATCACTCTGAAATTAGAACTCAGCACTTTCTTCGTGTGTTTGTGGGGTTCCCCTCCCATCTGAGATGATGAAACTCTTTGCTCCGACAAGAGAAAACCTATTAGTTAGTGGCACGGATCCTGAAACATATTGAGCGGCTTCAACTCCAATTGGAGTCAATGGGAATTAGATATTATTACATGTACACCTCTTCCCCAATATAACACTGTCCTTGGGAGCCAAATTTTTTTACCATGTTATAGGTGAAACCACGTTATATCGAACTTGCTTTGATCCGCTGGAGTGCGCAGTCCCGGCCCCCCCAGAGCACTGCTTTACCGCGTTATATCCGAATTCGTGTTATATCAGGTCGCGTTATATTGGGGTAGAGGTGTATTTAATATCTGGCCTTCACTCTGCTGTCTAGGCACATTTAACATGTTTTAAATTGGGTCATTAACATTCCAGATAAGAATAGCAAAAGGGTTACACTTCTTTGCTCCCTGCAGGTTTAAGGCTATGGATTGTGAACTATGAACTATAACCTACCAAAACCACCTTTATATTAAAAATTAGAGTTGGCAAATAATGACACTTTTTGTTTCTCCAGGCATATTTGTTTGGACTTTAAAATAAATTCATTTCAGTCAAGTTGGTACCCCTTTCAAGTTAATTTCCTGTGAATATCTGAGCTCTCTATTTTACTGTCACATGCGTTAACAGAAAGAAAAATTCAAAATGAATTTCAGAATATACATCAGAAGCACCTGCGTGTTCATCCAATTTGAAAACAGAAACAATACCAGTGCAATGAAGATTATCTGACTAGTGTTTATGGAGCAGTATTTAAGGACTAAATATTATCATCAACTTACTTTGTCTTCATATTATAGTCAAAGCTCAAAATTAGTCTTACAGACATTACATCAAATAGGGGCAATCCTTGCATTAGGAATAAGCAGAAAAAATAATTGGGCTTTATAATTTGGTGCCAAATTGTGCAGTGTGAGTTGTGAAGCTGAATTGAAGTCAGGGGTGTGACTCTGGATTTCTAGCCTATAACTAGGAGCAGAATTTGGCCCTTTCTTATTCAAACATATATTATTTTTATATGTACAATACCAGACAGCAGGCTGGGCGCTACACAGCTTCTGTACCTAAAACAAGTTCTGGGTGAATACTGCAAAAATTATTGGGGAACTTTGATTTTTTTTTAAATTCAGCCTCAATAAAGTCTTAATTCAGCAAACCATCCCTATTCCTCAGTGCATTTAAGCACATGCTTAAATTTAAGTGCATGCCTAAGTCCTGTTGACTTTCATGGGACTTAAACAAATGCTTAAAGTTAAGCAAAGGCTAACAGGTCAGATTTTCAAAGATATTTAGGTACCTAAAGATGCCGATAAGTGCCCAGTGAGATTTACATAGACATTGCTCAAAAAATCATTTTAGGCTCCTATCTACAGCTTTAGTTGCCTAAATACCTTTGAAAATGTGGCTCTAAATGCTTTACTGAACAGGGATGCACCTAAACACATGCTTAAGTGCTTTGCTGAATTGGGGCCTAAATTAGTTCAACCCAAAATGCAAATAGAAAAGTTCATAGTCACACAGAAAATCTGATGCAGAGTTGCTCTCATCTAGACAAGGAAAAGAGCATGCATTGTAACCTACTCTCTGCATCCAATCAAAACAGCAGAGGCCAAATTGCAAATATCCTCAATGAACAAGTCAGAAGCAACCAATAGGCCGAAAAGTATTTGCATGAAATAATTGTCCAATAGTTTTGAACACTGAGAAAAAAAATAATGGAAATTGTGATCTATTCTGTCTACCTAGGTACTTATATGGCCCTCATCATCATATCTGAGCATCTTGCAATGATTAATGGGTTTTATTCTCATAATACGCTTGTGTGAGAGCAAAATATCGCCTCTTATTTTAGAGAGTGGAAAGGGTAGATTAAGTAATTTGCCCCAGGTTGCACTTGATGTCTGCAACTGTGCTCGGACTCGAACCCAAGCCCCCGTCAAGTGCTGTAGCCACTAGACCATCCTTCTTCCTGTCAGTTTGCAGTTTGCAAACAAGAACTATCTTTACCTACTACATCAGTTAATGCAAATACTGCACCAAACTCTTATTTAAAACATCCCTTAGTATTTGCTATACTATTCAGTCACCTGCAGCTCCTGGGGATGGAATTCAAATGGGGGAAAGGAGGACTGTGATCTCATCAGATCGACATGTTCAGCTTCAGACCAGCTGATACCATCAAAATGATTCAAAAGTGCCTTCTGACTTCATCTGCACCCACTAGAGCACAGGATATTTCTCTACTGTGAAAACATCACTGGGAGCAAACAGTATCTGACGGCCCAGCTACAAGCGATCAAGTGCAGTTTAGGGACAATTCTCAAGTTTTTCCTCCCTTAACAGTTGCACGACAAGATTAATTTGTGGAGGGTGTTACACAGATGCAAAAATGTACACACTGAAAAGAACCACCGTGCTGCTTTGCGGTAAGCAGTAGCTATGTTCCAGTGAAGTGATTAAGTGCTGAGTGTTTAAAAATGCTATCATATGTAGCTATTTGCTTTGGGTTAACTAGAAAAGTCCATGTCTGGTCCTGGAGTTGGGAACAAAATGTTGAACTAGTTCCAGCAAGGAAGTGCTTTGACAAACATGAGTGTGAGAATAAAGCAGTGCTGGGAGGTGGCTATGTCTCTGGCAGGACAATAAATGTCTTGAATGGAAAGTGTTGCATAGAAAAAATGAAGAGAAAACTGTTCACTAGTGGACGGTGAATGAAGAGTCTAAAAATCCTGTTCTCTCATCTGGAAATTTGATTTTAATTAATGTGTCGACCCTATACCACAGATGTCCTTTAAATTGAGGTTTAGGATTAAAAAACATATCAGCTAACACCTTGATGCGTTATATTTTTACTCCTTACCTGTAGTTTCCTGGTTATTTTCCACAGCGAACACTGAAAATAATAGATAGTTGGTTGATTGGCTTGCTCAGCAGGGACCTGATCCAAAGCCCACAGAGGTCAGTGGGAATCTTGTCACTGACTTTTATGGGTGTTGGATCAGGCTCTGAATTACGGATGGGCTATAGAAACTTTCACCTCTAGCGTTTGGCCTATGGCAGGTCAGTCGTGACAAAAAGCCATTACACTTTCATGGTTGCATAATGGATTGGAGGACATAAAAGTAGTGAGTCTCGATCTATTTCCCATTATATAACTGTCCACATCATACTTGGCAATTGAGTTTTGTCAGTAAGGCCGAGGACTGAAATAAACACTCCCATGCCTAGAGGGGGTCCTGACAGGTCAGATCTGAGAAGGATGATGGGCAGTAAGAGAGCAAGCCAGCAGCTCACTAGGTGACAGAGGAGTTCAGTCTCCACAGCTGTCATTTGCTCCTCAGCCTTTTGGCTAAGAACAGATACGTGTTCCCTGTCTGGGACTGCATAATAAGTGGATTTTTGGAACAGGGAGCTGGGCTAGGACCTTGTTCCATCCACTCCATGCATCAGCCTGGTATTGCAGTGCCTTTGCCGGCACAATAATCATACAAAAGATATGATTAAAAAAACCTGGTAAGAAAAAAAAAAAAGGACGGGGGATGGGGTGGAAATCATGACCCAGTGGGCTTTTTCCATAGCTAACTCCTATACCTAGGCCTGTAGCAAACCCCCCTAAATCCAAATGCTCCCCAAAGTGGATCCAGATGCAAATCCAAACTTCATTGTACAAACCCCTCTCCGTGGGCTAGATAGGGCCATATACGTGCAGCTCCTGTTGAGGGGAGGGTGCAGCTGCTCTGACCCAACGGCAGCTCTGACCCAATGAGGTGCTGTGCCTCAAAGAAGAAATTCCTGAGGCACACAGGCTGTGTTCCCATTACCAAGCCCACAGCCAGGCAGCTCCCCTGGCCAGGGCATGGAAGACAGGAGGGGTCGTGGAGACAGCCAGTGCCCTGTGCCCACCATAGGAACAGGGACAGAGCCGTCCTGTCATGTCCAGCACACAGGGTCTGCAGCTCTGCCTAGCTCTTCTGCGGGCCATGTACGAGAACAGCAGTCTGCTAATGCCCTCTCTCCTGCCATGCCCCTCTAACAGGGCCAGGCTGAATCTAGCCCTATAACTTCCTGAAAGAAACATCTAGCCTGATCTACGGGCTGCGATTGTTTTGAATTAACTCTCCTAGGGCTTCAGCACTTGGACTGCTGCATGCAATTTTTCTTACATATAAGGCAGATTTGCACGTGTTAAGGAAATCTAAGCCATACATCTTTTTCTGGCCTGTCATACGGTTCCCATTAGCAATATGGGCCTTAGGTAGAGCTGTCCTGCAAGGTGCTGAGCACGCTAGCCCTGATCCAGCACAGCACTTAACTTTAAGCCCAGGCGTCGTTACCGTGCCGGCTGGGTGAGCGGGTGTTTCTTGGCACATCCACAGGCAGTCCCTCAAGGTGGCTGCTCCTCCCCTCCCTCAGGAAGCAATTCAGAGTAGAAACCCAAGGGCGTGTCCTTCCTGCCTCCAGAGGGGAGGAAACCTGTTTTGTTTCAGCAACACCAGCAGCAGGAGGGCAGCTGCCTCGGCACCTCCCTCCAGTAATAAATAGATGAGGTTGTGTTGCTTACCGAGCCCGTGCCTGTGTCGTTTTACGGGGGTCTCTGCCTGTTTGTCCAAGCCTGCCAGAACGCAGCGCACGAGGCTGTGTCACAGTAGCCCCATTGAAGTCAATGGGAGTAGTCATGCGCTTGGTTAAGCAAGTGCCTACGTGCTGTGCTCAGCATCTTGTACAATCAAGGCCATAGATGGGCTTTGCGACCATAGGAGAGGGCCAAAAGCTTTGATGTGTGGGGGTCCTTGGCTCTCTGTCTAGGTTCTGATCTGGTGCTCACCATCCTAGCCTGTGACCTTTGCACTTAATTGTTACTTATTCGACTGTTACTTCCTTTGCTGTTGAGAGACATTGGCGCATACGTCAAACTTCTAGAGAAAATGATCATTTCTTATATGTCCAAGGTGGGCTAGACATTTTCCTTATCTATAGGGCCAGATTATGCAACATTTACTCATGCTGTGTAGAACCTTACTCCTTAAAAGTGGACTCCTCATGGAATAAAGAACTGGTACTGTAAGGGGGCCCCAGAATCTGGCCCACAAGAAAAAAATCAATATCTGCTCTGCAGAGCAAACGTTATCAAGCATAGTGCTTATTACCACGTGCTTCACATCAGTGGGATTCCTCTGACATAAGCGCAGGAATAGGTGTGTAGAGCAGGTCCATGAACAGACAAAATGCAGATGAAGAAGGATGAAGAAAGGGGTACAACAGAGAAGCAAGGTCAAGGTGAAATTAGCTAATATGACAGTTTATTAAAAATGAAGTAATTACCACAGAAGTCTTGCGGAGACTGAGTCGATCTGATCTGGCCCTGAAATACGCCTCATCAAAAGATGCGTGACTTCCCTTCAGCTTCTCAGAGAGGTTGCGATACAGTCGTTTAGCAGCATTCGGAGAAGATGGCCCACTGTTCTTTTTTGTCTGCGAAAGGTTCAAGTTCTGCATTTGCTGTGTCATTTTCACGTGGCAGTTCCTAGAGAGAAGGCAATGCAGCCATTGGATATGGGTTTGCTACACTAACTTCATCCATTCAAAACCCATCCTTGAAACACACACAGCAAGACTTGTGCAGCAACGGACTTTCATTAAGGTAGGCCAACCCCACACCAAGAACATGAAGGGCCATAGTTTAGATCCTTTCCATTGGTGAGTTGTTGCTCAGAGAGATAGTCCCATTGACATCAGTGGGCGGAAGGGGCTATGATGTGGACACCAATGGGACCACCCCTATGAGTGCCAGCCAATGGGAGGAATAAGAACTCCAAAATGTGGGTTCGATACCTGGGGAACTGACTAAGTGAGTCACATTGTGGGAATAAAAACAATTCTGGTAAAAAAATATTTAAAGGGGGGGAGAGTTTGGGTTAAATGAGAATTGGGAAGAGGGACTTATACTCTATGTATGTAAAGTGATGATGATATTCCCTAAATTCAACCAGAACAAGCAGGATTGCAGAATCAGGACCTAACAATTTCCATTTATTGTCATAAAAGCTTTTCTGCTAAACACTTTCTTGCCGCTGCTCTTTGCCTTTAATTTGCCTCTAAGATTTAAAGCTCAACGCCAACTCTCACAAGTCCTCTGAGTCTTCCATTCCCGTTGGTGAATGGTGGCAAAGCAGACATTCTGAACACAAAAGTGTCCATTTACAAATAACCTCACACATTTCCCAGGCTAACGAGGTACTACAAATAGACAAGGTCTCTGAATGACGAACATATGCCCAGAGACTCGAGATAATTGGGACATGTGACAAGGAGACTTCCTCGTTAAATCAGCACACCAGTGTGTACAAACAAGAACAGAGCTCTGTGTGAGTAGCATCCCTGCAACTAATGAGCAAAAATATGGATGAAAGCAAAGCAGGCCTTCTAAGATCTCCAGGATCGTCTTTCATTGAGCATGATGGCCATGGGAGTATAGGTGCAGTGAGATTGCACACAATAGAAGTTATCTTGCTTTTTCATTATTACACCTCTACCCCGATATAACGCGACCCAATATAACACGAAGTCGGATATAATGCGGTAAAGCAGCAGCTCTGGTGGGCGGGGCTGCGTGCTCCAGCGGATCAAAGCAAGTTCGATATAACGCGGTTTCACCTATAACACGGTAAGATTTTTTGGCTCCCGAGGACGGCGTTATATCGGGGTAGAGGTGTATTCATTTGCATTTTAGTAGAGCTCAGTGGCCTGTACTGAAATTATGGTCCCTGTGCACTAAGCACTTGCACAAAACACAGAGTAAGACCATCCCTGTCCCGAAGAGCTAGTCTAAATAGATGAGACAGACAAAGGGTGGCAGAGGAAACAGAGACACAGTCAGTGCCTTTGCCTAGGTCACACAGCAGATCAATAGCAGAGGCAGGAACAGAATCCAGGTCTCTTGAATTACAGTCCAGTGTTCCATTCACTGGACCAAGGAACCTTGTAATATTATACAGAGGTTACAATAAAAATAAAATCTACATTTACCTGAAATTCTGGAATTATTTTTCCTATTTGCAATAGAGGGAAATAGAGCTAAATGCTCCTCCTCTTTTCTCCTCCCTCCCTGCAAAGTAATACACCGGAGTGGCCAGGTCTAGTGGAAGGGGGTTTCTGTAGGGGCAGCAGGAAGTTGGGTTGGAAGGACCCCTCCGTCCCATCCAGCTGTGGAGCTGTAGTGGAATCACTCTGCGTGGTGCTGCAGTCATCCCCTCCTGGGGCAATAGCCAGTGGATCCATATATTGGAAGATTTCCCCCTAGTCTTAGTTCCCCATACCTTGCTACATGGGGGTATGAAGGGAGCCCGCCCAAATTTGGTCTCTATGGCACACAGGGGACGTGAACACTCGGCATGGGTGCCACAAATCCTTTTTTCCTCACCCGCATGGTGGAATCACATTGGTTACATCTGGAGCAGCATGCATGGATCTGCCCCCGATACTCCATGAACCAGATGTGGAAACGGTCAGTAAGTGCTGATTTTAACGGCAAACACACGACAAGTGCAAAAAAGCATTCTGCTTTACTGATGCAGTGAGTGGATCAATCAGGAGTTTTAATTGAAAACATGAGCAAAGGTGCAGTCAGTGAAATAAAACGATTTAAAAAAATGGCTGTTAAGGGTGTGCTCGCATTAAACCCCTATTTAGAATCTTGCCATTAGTTCAATGAGTTTCTAATGAACGTCTGAAGATATGTTTAAAGAGGTGGTTGGATTTGGTGTTGCCCCCAGAGATCTTCAGATCCCACAGTCTCATGTTATTAATATTTAAAGGTGACTCAGCACCTTACCAAAGATCATTTTATTCTCAGTCACACAGAGTGATGGCAAAGATCCCCTCGTAATGCTCCCATGATAACCTGCTTCCCTATATTCCACCGAGCAACAGATTGAAATAGAAAGGGCATCTGCGCTCACATCCACTTTACCCTGCACTGACTTCAATATATGGCTCCTACTGTACAGCAGCGTGTGGGGAGAATCAGCCCCAAACGCTATGTATCAGTAACACAAAGGGTCTTGCAAACACTCACAAAATAGTTCAATTCACTCTGCTCCTGTTTAAAAGTTCCAGGCATCCAGTCATGGAGCAGATGCTACCCCACAGGAGAAAAGTCAGCAGTCATGTACTGCAAATAGTAAAAGGGGACGTTTCATGAATAATCCAGGGGCTGGAAATAGTTTGTCCAAGTGGCTGAGCAGATATTTGTGAATAGTGTACACAGGGGAGTTGTTCAGAGGTCCAGGGAATCAGGAAGCACCCAACTTTCACCAAAAGTCGAAGGAACTTGGGCACCTAACTCCCATCTGCGCCTCTGAAAATCTCCCCTTGCATTTGCAGAGATGATGAATGGTTTGCAAATGCCTTGAGAACAACAAGAGAAAAGGGCTAGGTTCATTCGTAATGAACAAGTCAAGCAGCTCTACTTGGTGCTGAATGGGACTTCAAGCCTAGAAATGCCATCACGCTGCGATTAAGAACAAGCAATGGTGGCATTAGATGCTTGCTACTTCCGGCTGATCCCATTAAATCATTAAAGAATTAACTACACCCATATCAGGACTGAAAAAACACCTGTTCCCCCGACTGACATAAGATTCACTGACAAAAGCGCTGGTGTGGACAGCACTATGCCGGCGGGAGATGCACTCCAGAGCTACTGCCGCTTGTTGGGGGTGTTTTAATTATGCCGGTGGAAGAGCTCTCTTCCATTGGCAGAGAGTGGCTACATGGTACAGCGGTACTGCTGTAAGGCTATGTCTACACTACAGACCTAATTCCCATTGATATAAACTGGAGTTAGGCACCTGGACACCTTTGAGAATCTAGGCCCGCGTAACTAAATAGGCTGCCTTCCTATCTAGAGCCAGACCAGACAACCTCCGTACTGGCCCGTCAATGCCATTCTAAGGGCTTACCTACATGGTGCATTAGTCCACACCAGGCGGTGTAAATGCTAGTGCACACTAGCATGTTGTACACTAACTGGCCCAGGTGGACCCTGCCACTCCCCCCACCTCTTTTATAAGAAGGGGAATTCAACCTCTGCTGGTGGCAGAGCCTGAACAAATCTTCTCTAAATGTCAGCAGTCTTGATTTTCCATAAATTCTGACTGCCGGGTGATGCTCCGTTAAAGGAGAGCCCAGTCCCCCATGCACTAGGGATGGACAGCTGGACCATAGTGTTGCACACCGGCAATCCGTCTGGGACGCTGTGATATGAAGGAGGTCAGATGAGATCATCATGATGGTTGCTTCGGGCCTTAAAAATCTATGTCACAGCTCCATTGACTTCAACTATTACAGCATTGTGCAGCTGGAGTTTCGCAGTGGTGAATGAGGCCTGCTACATACACATAAGAAAGATGCTTGTGTAACCTCAGGGTCAAAATAACTTTAGGTACCAAACATTTGAACAGCACCCTTCCAAGGACCAATGTAGTAGGATTACTGTTCTATCCAGGGATGCATGCAGTGTTGTTGTAGCCATGTTGGTCCCAGGATATTAGCGAGACCATG